GGCGGGACCACAGAGAAACTTGGCGCAGACAAGCCTTAAGGGAAAAGGAAGTTCATTGTAAGGGCCTATCGGGCACTTCCGATTCTCGGTAGCCTGTGGGTGGAGTGGGAGAACAGTTGCGGGCAAAAAAAGGGTGGCGAGTACTGTAGATGGAGGACAAGTGAATGGATCCGGGGTGGGCGGCGGGCCAAGTGACATGAGGGAGTCAGGGGCTGCGGAGTCGGGAATTCCCGGTCGGGGGCGTTTTGGATAATCGGGCCAACGGGCTCATCTGCCGCCCAGCCGGGGTTCCCTGTGAACTCAACTGGAGTTCGCCTGGTAGCGGAGCGGGAGCGAGGGTCTAGTGCAAGGGCGGGGTACGTGGAGGCCCCCACCTTACCCTTCCAAATAAAAAAAAAAGGATATAGAGGCATGTAAAAAAACAGGACGTCGTACAAGGGGGCATATAAGTATACATAAAAACTGTTTACAGCCAGTAGAATGGAATGGATGGAATGGTGGGCTTGGGCGTCCTGGGTTCTGATGTGGGCGTTGTCATGGAAACCCACGGGGGTTCACTTCGGACGTTCAGTATTGTGTTAATAGTGCAGTTATCAGCTTGGAGCCTCGTTAATAATTATCATGTGCCACCAAGTCATTTCTGATTTATGGCAATCCTTTTCAGGGTTTTCCATGTAGAGAATACTCAGAAATGGGTTTCCCATTGCCTTCTTCTGGGGGATGCTCTGGGACTGTGCAGCTTACCAAGGCCACACAGGCTGGCTCTTCACTCAGGAGGCACAGTGAGGGGAATTGAACTCCCAGCCTCTGGTTCTGCAGCCAGATAACCACTGAGCTATCCAGTCTGGAACCTCATTACCAGGTATTAATATGCAGCTGTCAATCCACTTGATCCTATACAGTACCCACACCTTGCATATCATACATTCCGAAACCTTATTACCAGGTATCAATATGCAGCTGTCAATCCACTTGATCCTATACCCACACCTTGCATACTATACATCCACCTCTGGCTCAGATACTATTTCCCATGTGCTGGAAGACAAAATGTCATTCTGAAATAAATTTCTTAGTCTTAAAGATGCCACAGTACTTCTATTTTTCTTCTGCTGATTGTCAGGAACCTCACACTTGGCTTAATTTCCTCAGTTCCGATAATCTGATTTTTCTAGATTTATGTGTCTCATTAGCAATTTATGATGCCACATCTCTGAAAAGCAGACTACTTATTTATTTGAATCCCTCAATAAGCAGAAAAATAAAAATTTTTTGAGCAGTGTTATTATTATTTATAGAAACAAGTATGAATATCCAAATGCAAAATATAAATAAAAAGAAGCAATCCACAAATATCTCTGTATCCATTCCTCATTCTAGACGTTACCATCTCTTGAAAGGCTTTTTGAAGGCTTCAGATTTCTTACTATCCTTTGGCATACATAAGCTGTGATAGTGAACACAGGACTGCACATGCAGATGAATCCCACATATTTGTTCCCTTTTGTTGTGCTTGATGGCAGCAAGTGCTTTGATGGAGTTCCTGCATGGCAGGCGATTGGACTCAATGGCCCCTGTGGTCTCTTCCAAACTCTATGATTCTAAATGCTAGTGGATAGGGGTTCTGGGGAGTCAAATGCCAGTATGACCAGTCAAAACATGGAGCAGTTTTTCATGAACAGAGTTGTATGGGGTGTGAACAGAGCAGTCAGATGTCAAAGCCAAACAGTCAATCTGAAAATCACTTACATTCCAAGGTGACAGGTGCAGAACAGATGAAAGCACAGATATAACCAAGTTAGGTTGTTCAGCAGAGATTTCAGCAGAAACGAGAAGAATTCTGCAGTGGGCACCAAAATCAGAATTGTAATCTTTGGCAATTCTGGGATAGCTAGATGTGGAACTCCTCCATCTAGCTTCATTTTACTGCAGGCTTTTGAGCCTGGAGACTTTGACTTTTATCACTGTTGTGTCCTCTGCTCCAAGACACTGGACTGTCCATTCTTGGAAGTGGGGATGTTGTCAAGCTTCTATTATCTTCTAGTGGATCTTGGTCCTACCTGGCCCTACCTCCATTTCGCCTGCCTGTTAATTGAGGGGGCTGCTAATTGGATCCCCACCCTCCTTTTTCTGGTATGATACTTCTTGTGAATGTAGATTGTCCTGGTCATCATCTGAAGAAAACTCAGTCTTATACAGTATCTATAGCTAGCTATTTTTGTATATCATGATTTTCTATTTGTGTCAGCTGGTACTGAGCTTTCATTCTTGAAATAGAAAGGTAGTATTAGAAACACAGTTATCTAAAATACTTTTTAGAGGCAAAGTGGTAAAGAGATAGATAACATGAACATTTACCTTTTGTAAGTTTAGAAAGCATAAATTATTCACATATTTACCATTTTCCTAAGAAGTAAGTATTATTTTGACATTCTTTCTCTGATAAACATCAAGGCAGTGAACATGTGACACTGTTGATAGTGAACTAAATTTACCTCTTAATTTTAAATACAAGGGTAGGGAACCAAAAAGAAAGATGTTGCATACAACATAAATGCGGAGACATTCTCTAACATAGACGCTTACTTCCTTGTGGTGTATTTAATTGGCTATCTACAATAACATCCTTGACAGGGGTTGGACTCAATAATCCATGTGGTCTCTACCAGGTCTACAGTTCAAAGAAGAAGAAGAAGATGATGGTGATCTGTGGGGGACTAAGACTCCTGTTTCTAACCCCCACCCCCCAAAAAAAACATAATATGAGCAATGTTATCATACTTTTCCATCAACCTTTGCTTTTTTGACCATATAGGCAAAAGCTACATGTTTGTAGTTAACTTGCAAAGATCATATTGCAAATATCTCCTGGCTACTGGACAGCAGCAAAGAATTTCAGAAGATCAGTCTGTGCTTTATAGACTACAGCAAAGCCTTCATTGACTATCTACAATAACATCCTTGACAGGGCTTAGACTCAGTAATCCATATGGTCTCTACCAGCTCTACAGTTCAAAGAAGAAGATGATGATGGTGGTGATCTGTGGGGGACAAAGACTCCTGTTTCTAACCAAAACAAAAAACAAAAACAAAATAATAATAATATGAGCAATGTTATCATACTTTTCCATCAACCTTTGCTTTTTTGACCATATAGGCAAAAGCTACATGTTTGCAGTTAACCTGCAAAGGTCATATTGCAAATATCTCCTGGCTGAGAGGAAAAAATTAATCACCATCTTACTAGCAGAAAGCAGCAATGGCTTGAGACTACTGTTAGGGAAAGTAAAAGGACAAAGTGCCAAAGCAGGATTACAGTTGAAAGTTAAGATGACAAGAATCATGACTATAGAAGAACTATACAATTTTAATGTTGACAATGAAGAAATTGAAATAGTTAAGAGATTTTGTATACTTTGGTTCAATCATCAATCCTAATGGAGACTGCAGCCAAGAAATCAGAAAAAGACAAGACTTGGAAGGGCAGCAATTAAGGAGCTACAAAAAATAATCACATATAAAGATGTATCATCAGAGGCCAAGACCAAGATCATCCACACTCTTGTATTTCTGATCACCATGTATGGGTGTGAACGCTGGGCAGTTAAGAAAGCTGAGAGGAAAAAAATTAATTTGTTTGAAATTCAGTGTTGAAGGAGACCTTTGCGGATACTCTGGAATGCCAAAAAGGCAAACAAATGAGACCTAGATCAAACCAACCCCGAACTCTCTCTGGAAGCAAAAATGTTGGCATTGAGGCTGTCCTACTTTGGGCACATCATGGGAAGTCAGAACTCTCTGAAAAAGACAATGATGCTGGGAAATGCGGAAGGCAGCAGGAAAAGAGATAGACCCAATACGAGATGGTTTGACTCCCTAGAGGAAGCCACAGGCTTGAGTTTGCAAGAGCTGAACAGGGCTATAAAGGACAGGCCATTTTTGTCCCTGACTCTCCTCTACAATCCCTCCAAGTTTGGTGAAGCTTGAAAAGATACAGTCCTTGTTTTAATTTTCAATTTTTGGAGGGGGGGGAAACCTTCCGGGGAGTTGCTGACTGAGTCTTCTCTTTATTAGTGTTTTTGCTTATATATCAAAATGGCAGAGAAGGGGTTTGAAAGAAGAAGACTTTGCAAATATTTTGTGGAAATTGTGCCTAAAGCAATATAAAATATATTCCAAATCATAGGCCCTGCCTCCCCCCACCCCATATACTGTATATCATGAAGTACAGAATTAAAACATAAGGTCAGAGAAATTGAAATTAAATATCAATGAAATACAAAAGACAAGATGGTACATTATTCTGGCAGTTAGTGATTAGCAAAATAGACTAAATTTTTTATTTATCACAAAGTATTAGAGTAGGAGTTTCCAAAATTGAGTCCCTAGATGTTCTTGGACTAAAACTCTCAGAAGCTTTCACCACTAGATGTGCTCACCAGTATTTCTGGGAGCTGTAGTCCAAGAACATCTGGGGACTCAAGGTTAGGAAGCATTGTACTAGAGGAACTGAGACTTCTTCAACAATGGGAAACATAGAAAGGTAAAAATGAAGTCAGTGTTGTTGTCTGAAACACAGTATACTTCTAACCCATAACTGTATTTAATCATCTATGAACGTCTTTGTCATACTTTTCCACAGTATGAAATGGAGACCACAACATTGTCCAATCATAGTAACATTGGTTCAGCCTGGTATGTTGTTTCTGAATTTAGCATTGAAGTTGCACCAAATCTCAGAGGTGAAAAGAAATGTCACACTGGAAAGGTGAAGTTGGACAAGCAGTCTAATGCATAGACTAGAAACGCCTGGAAAGCAGGGTAGGCAAGAAAGACAAAAATAAATAAAGAAATAAACAAACAAAAACATGCCCTCCTGTGCAACTTTGAAAGTCATATAAGCAATTTACTTTTTAAAAAATTACTGAGGTGGACTATACATTACATTTAAGAGATGGTAAGCCCTTATGCATTCAAAACTTGAAGTTCTTTTTTCATTTTCTAGCACTGTGATGTACCTTCAAATCCAGCAAGGCGGTCCAGAAACTGTGCAACTTTGAAAGTCATATAAGCAATTTACTTTTTAAAAAATTACTGAGATGGACTATACATTACATTTAAGAGATGGTAAGCCCTTATGCATTCAAAACTTGAAGTTCTTTTTTTTTTCAGCCTTACATTTTCTAGCCTTCCTGTATTGACAAGTTGCAAAAAGATGGGGGAACTGTTTTGTCCTCCAGATTTACTATATTACAGCTCCCATAATCCTTTGCCATAGGTCATGCTGACTGAAGCTTTCGGGGAGTAAAGTCCAAAACATCCAGAGGGTCAAAGTTTCCCCAGTCCCAGTATATTAGATTTAAGTGTCGTTCTCTCTTAGGTGATCCAAGTGTGGAACAACGAAATAGAAGCAGGGAAGCCGTCTGACCTAAGTAAAATTGCTAGAGTTCTTCAGGAAACATTGGAATTAAGATATTTATAGTGGAGATGTGCCACTTTTTGCTATTGTTAAGCATTCACCCGCATTCATACCAAAGATCCAAAAAGCAGGATAAACAGGATTTGCCACATGGATCTCAAACTTATGTAAGCAAGTCTCCTGATCTGTAAGAGAATAAAAAGATAAGCAGCTTTCTGGGATGTCAAGGAAAACGCCAACCCGCAGAGGTTTCCTGTTGCCAATGTGGGTTTCTCGATCCCCATGCCATGCTGAGAGTCGTTCAACTGACCATTCTACACACCAGGACAGCTCAGTTCTCCCCAGTTTGTCCCTTTTACCAATTTCTTTGTAGGCAATACCAATGGCCCAGCCAGTGGCGTCTTCTGTGATCACTTCCCAATAATGGCACCCATCCGAGAAACCCTGGCAGCCCAGCACCTGGCTAACGCAGAACCTCTGAGCAGAACGTTCATAGCCCACGAAGCAATCGGACACAGTCACCTTCTTTTTATCCTCTGAAAGTTCTAGTCTGTCATTGAGAGTCTTGAGATCAAGCGTCACGTTGGCTGCCCCTAGATGAAAAAACATGAAAGCGTTCTGAACCTGGGAATCAGAAATCAAGGAAGTATCTTGCAAACTACCTAAACTCCTAAACAGTTAGCTTGCTAAAAGACATGGCACTGAACTGTTACAAGCTGCCCTTTACCCACCTTCTTTTAACAAGACTCTGAGGTGGGATAGACAAGCAGGGAGATTTATCAGGGTAATCACCATTGAGTGGGAGTTCTAACCTAGGTCCTCTTCATCCAAAAGATACATCTACTGTATTACTGTAACTCTCGCGCAGCAAAATCCTTCAACCCCTGTAGCTCTCCTGAAGTCAGATTACATCTCAGGAATAGACAGATTGATAGGAAATAAACTGAAGATACAGGGGTGAGCGGTTCTCATATCCAAGAACTGGGTGATATGATCACACTGCCCTTGAATGAGTAGCTGCATACCTTAATTGGGAGACACATCTTGCATTATTATTGGGGGTCCTGATGGCACGGGGCGCCTTTAAACAGCTTCTGTTGACTTGCTAGTTATGGCCATTCCTACCTATGGAGATTCTGGTGGTAGTAACCGATGCTGTCATACCCTCCTGGCTAGGCTACTACAATGGGCAATATACAAGGGATGCCCTTGAAGACAGTGCAGAAACTTCAGTTAGGTACAGTTAATGTGGCTGACTGTTAGAATGTTGGTGAATGTGATGAGAGAGAATCATCTTGCAATAATTCCCTAGGCATAAGGATACTGCATTGATTGCCTGGTGCTTCTAGGCCCAATTTAAGGTGTGGATAGTTTCTGATAAAGTCGCAGAAGGCATAAGGGACACCTTTGCCTGTACCAAACCATCTGTGTCTTAATTTGACATAATGTCATGATGTCACAACCTTCCTGTTTATACGGGCATTAAATTTGGGGGATTTTATCAAGCATCTCTGAATTGTTTATTTGTTTGATATGCCATCTTTCTCACAGAACTGGGAGCCAATTTAAAACAATAGAATAAAGCCTTTCCAGTTTTTTTTGTTTGTTTTTTGTGATAGTTAATCAGCGGCTTGTGGCAGGCTTTTCTGAAAGCCAGGGTCTGAATCTCTTACTCCTACATCTCCATAGGACTGCCTTGTACAGTACATGCTTGGATGTATATACAGGACTCACACTGAGAAAACTGACTCGAAATGATTGAGTCTGCCCTGTGTATGGCAGGCCTGCTTCTTCTTCTTTCATGCTGCGAGCAATCCCGTGGTGTTCCACAAGTGGAAAGGTTGACTGACAAGATGTCGTCCTCTGTGATGGAAGACATTGCTGAAGAACTACTGCTTGCTTCCTGAAGTGAATCTTGACTTTGTGCTAAGCAAGAAAAAGAGAGTCTCTTCACTATTTTTTAATTCATCTGAAAGCAAGGGAGATCCTTAATATGTCAATGAGGGACATCGTCAACTAATCGTTGTAGTAAACACAGCTTGAACTCTAGAAACCCTTTAAAAAGCTTCTCTCATTGAGTATGCCCTGTGGCAGCACACACATGCCTTGAAAGCACTGCCCATTTTGGAAACATTCAGGGGGCTTTTATCCCAGTTCATATGTAGGCAAAAAGTGGCCCTTGAGATGTTGTGGGACTGCAACGCCCAGCTTTCTTCACAACTGGCTATGATGGCAATGGTTGATGGGAGTTGCAGTCCCATATCATCTTGACAGCTACACACACACACCACTCCTGCCCTAACGGCACAAAAACTGGGTTTTTTTCAGAATCAGGTGATGAGAGTATGAGTAACATTTCAGCTACTCCTCCATTCAAGTTGGGGCTGGTCACACAGAGGGTGACCTAGGAACCCACATTCTGTCCAAGAGAAGAGCTCATGAAAGGGACTCCTCCCCTCATCGAGATTACTTCAGTATTACTCCAGATGCACAGATCCCCCAAGAGAAAACAAATTCCTAACAGATTGGGAGAGTAATATTTAAAGATCCCACAAACAACATGATTAGGTGGGAAATAATCGGTATTTGGCACTTCTTTGCATTGTTATGAGAAAAGTGACAAAAGTGACAATTTGAGAATGACTGTGCCACAAACAAAACTACTTGTATCTGCCACACAAATGGTAGTGCAAGCTACAAACTCTGACACTATATAGCAGCAGCCCCCAACCTTTTTCGGACTGTGAACCGGTTGAGGTGGTGTGGGCTCAGTGTGGTGGGTGGGGCGGGGGCACCCTTCATTCATTGGTGGGCATGTCACGCTTGCGGAGGGGCATGTCACATGTGTACAAATGCGACATGCCCACCTGCAAGCGCGACACACACACTGTGTATGCGTGGGGGGGCGAAGATCTGTGTCCACGGCCCAGTTAAAGGAAGCCCATGGACCACCACCAGGCCACGGACCAGGGGTTGGGGACCCCTGCTCTATAGGATTCGGTGCCAAGGTTTTTTTATTCAGCAAATATGCACTCCGATCCATGTAAACACATTCAAAATAGTTAAAATGGCACTGATGATTTATTTGACAATGAGAGCAGTGGGAATAGAGCCCAGCCCCTCCTGAACAGCTTGTTGGCAGAATTTTACCCTTGTGGAAAGAGTATCACGTACACAGCTGTAACACGCAAGTCGGATGAGTGCGTGTCAGCATTTGCAATGCTCCTCGCTTGTATAGGTGGAACACCTCCCTGCTGAGAACACAAGCAACACTTTTACACCTGCAACACCCCAACTCGGATCGTGATCCTGTTGGGCTTTGTGGTCCCTGTACCTAGAAGGCAGTGCAAGCAGCTGCTGCCCTACATTGTGCTGGAAACATCAGAACTCCCTTTATGCCCAATCAGGTTATTGCCCCCATTTCACTCAAGACTGTTTACCCTGACTAGGAGCAGCTCTCCAGGGTTTCAGATAAGAACCTTTCTTCACCTTACTGTTATAGAGATACCAGGGACTGAAATGGAGCCCTTCTGCTTCCAAAGCAAAGCAGGCATTTTACCCGTGAGCCTTTCTTGTATTAGATTAAGAGTCCTTCAGAGATTGATCTGTTTCCTCTATGCAGATTTTATTTTGTGTGACCCCCCCACCCTTGCCCACAATATGAATAAAAATAAATGCACACATACAACTTTGAAATGTGATCCTCAATCAAGCGGTCAATGGTCATAAATGTAAATTGTGGGAAATATTTCATAGTACTGTAGTAGCTACATGTCTGAGAGCTCAGTAGTTTAGGACAGACTGTCTTAGTAGATAAGCAAGTCTGTACATGTGTATGTGCGTGTGTATGAGAGAGAGGGAGGGAGGGACAGGGAGACAGACTCATATCTGTGGCAGATTTTGCAGTTTCCTTCATGTGGTGTCTTGGGAAGAGCTGGGCCTTTTCCATCTGAAAATATGTTTCTCATGGCTTGACACGAGACCCTAATCCCATAGACCATTGTGCAGCTGCTCAGTGTTGTGCAGCCACTGCTCTTATGGATGAGAACAACACTAGCCAAGAAAGGAATGAGACAAGAAGAGGGAAAGAATGACATTCAGGAAATGAACCACCTACTGGAAATGCTGGAGGAGGCCATTTCAACTTCTGCTTCCTTCTGGATTTCATTGTTCTGGTGTTTCCCTAGAGTAGACTCTACAACAACAACAAAAAGCTCACTCAGATGCTGACTGAGACTAGAAGCTTGTCTGGACAGCGCAGGGCTTGCTGTTGTTTCTCCCATAAAATGGCTTCCTTCATGTCTGGGATTCTCAGAAATAAATGGACGAGGGGGCAGCTATGAGCACTTTTTCCACATGAATCATACTTTCCCTACTGGCAGTAAGGAAATGAGGTTTTTCCAGGTTTGTCTTTTTCTTATTTTTTTTCGATTTTTTAAAAAACTAATGATCATCTCATTGCAAGTAGGGCTTACAAGCCAATGGGCCATGATAGGGACATGTCTGGGGACTCCCTGATCCACCCCTCTTTTTGGGTCCCCTCAGTGTTGGAATGAAGAGCTTCAGCCCCCCCACACACACACACACACAGGGGACCACAAGGTTGCAATCTGAGCATCCCATAGGTCTCCGCTTTGTATAGAATTAGCACATCTCTAACAAACTTTCCTTAAGGCATATATGCCAATCTTACTCACCTTGCGGCAGCTTCACTGGGCGGTTCCACAACACTGACTTTTCCAGTTGTCTTCTGAACTCTTCTACAACATATGTAATACTTTTAATTTTCTCAACAGCGAGAGCAACATCAGTCATTTTGATAGGATTTTCAATGCAAACTTCTTGTTCCAAAGAGGTATTCTAATAATAAAAATATATAGATATCAAAAGAAGAATGAATAAAAAAGGCACAACACTTCTTTCAAGGATCTGTGGTGATTCTGTAATGAGAAGCACACAGTGCAAATTCAGGGTACTAGTCTGATACATTTTTATAAATTAAAGAACACAATTTAATTCAGGGTCTACTTTTTAAAAATTCTGTTCCCTATACTTGTTCTTCCTAAAGTGCTGGTTCAGTTAATGGAAAATAAAAAGTCACAACCTTATTTCTTCTCACAAAACTCAAGACATGATTCAATAATTTAGAAGAGTGAGTAAAATCAGCCACCAAAGAATAAGATCAGCTAATTCCATGACACTAGCGTAACAAAACTTTGTTTTTATCTTTACTATAACACACTGTACACCATTTGGATACAAAATTTAAAGGTATTGAGGGGTCTGAGTTTGTCAGAGAAGCTCAGAACAATACTGTCAGGAGAATAGTTTATTAGTTTAGAGTCTTTAGACTAACAGCAGGCTCACTCAAAATGAAGCTGTCAAAGCTAAGACACTAGACTAAGATACATTCAGTTCCACCCTCTTCATGATTAACAGGCACATCAGCAGAAAATAAGCAATTCCATTCATGATAGGAGTGGAGGAATTTTAAGAGAAGCAGCTAGTACGCAGTGGGAAATCTCAACACACAATGGTAACAGCAAAAACAGACTAGACAGGACACTTGGAAAGATATTCCATAAGGAACATATGCTGTCACCTTGCCTCAAGAATAGACTTGAATGACTGCAGTAATCCAGCTGCAGGGTCTAAATTGGTATTACTTTAGTCTCTGTTCAATCTATTAAACTATTTCATACTGACCTCTCATAAATAAGGTCTAGTATATTTGCAACATACTCTTAACAAAAGAAGAAAAAATATACAAATTGCATGAATAACTCCCTCAAAGTCTGTTCTTTTGGCCTATTTAGCCTGGAATCCTATACAGTATCTATTTATCTTACATGGGAGTGAACATTAACAAAATGTGGCTAACTTCTGAGTAGACATGCACAAAATGGTGACAGCACATTCTTATGCTTTATGACAATTTATTGATTCTAAAACAAGCCAGTTTGCTTTAAACATTTTATTCCATTAACATGTACACCAGATCATATTTCTTTTTTTCTTTACCTTTATTACTTCTTTAGAGTTAATTTGCAACTCCAAAAGTTGTTCATTTCTTGCTTTAAGTTGATAATCTGTTAAGTCTCTTTTCTGCTGAGCTTCTCTATACTCTTTGTCAATAAAATTTAACACCATTTTTTCTCTGTCATTAATGTAGTTATTCAAAAAACTGAAGACTTCAACAACTGAGCGTTTGATCTGAGAAACATGTTCCTAAAATCAAGAGGGAAAGAGATGGTGATTAAATATTTATCTCATCCTACAAGTAGGAGACAGCAGCCATGAAATTAAAAGACGCCTGCTTCTTGGGAGGAAAGCAATGACAAACCTTGACAGCATCTTAAAAAGCAGAGACATCACCTTGCCAACAAAAGTCCGAATAGTCAAAGCTATTTCCTGTAGTGATGTACGGAAGTGAGAGCTGGACCATAAGGAAGGCTGACCGCCGAAGAATTGATGCTTGTGAATTGTGGTGCTGGAGGAGACTCTTGAGAGTCCCCTGGACTTCAAGGAGAACAAACCTATCCATTCTAAAGGAAATCAAGCCTGAGTGCTCACTGGAAGGACAGATCCTGAAGCTGAGGCTCCAGTACTTTGGCCACCTCATGAGAAGAGAAGACTCCCTGGAAAAGACCCTGATGTTGGGAAAGTGTGAAGGCAAGAGGAGAAGGGGACGACAGAGGATGAGATGGTTGGACAGTGTCATCGTGCTCTGGTCCATGGGGTCACGAAGAGTCGGACACGAGTAAACGACTAAACAACAACCACAACACAAGTACAAAGCTTTTAAAACTCTTTTTCTTCTTTGTAGAATGGCTCAGATTATCAAAAAGCTGGATCAGACCTTATACCACCCACCATGAACAGCTGCCCCTGTACCATCCACAAAACTATTTAGAATGGAAGTAGCTTGCTTCTAACACAGAGTGGTTCCTAACCTTGGGTCCCCAGATGTTCTTGGACTATAGCTCCTACAAATCCTGGCCAGCACTGCTAGTGGTGAAGGCTTCTGGGAGTTCTTGTCCAAAAACATCTGGGGACCCAAAGTTGGGAACCACTGTTCTAGCAAAATCAGCTGCTTTAAAATCTATTGCTTCCAGGAACAGCTTAGAATTGCCTCACAGTCCATTTTTCTCTTTCAAGCTGGGCAAGTTGTAGCCAAGGAGAAGAGAGAGGTAGATCAAGAAGTAGTGATGGCAGATACGCAACTGAACAATGAGCTAAACTACAAGCCATGTTAAATTCCTACTATACACCTCTTTTATGTCATAGGAGCATAAGAGGGGCCCTAAATTGGAAGGGGAAAGGTTAAAACACAGGTGGCGAATCTGGGGCCCTACCATCTGTTTTGGTCTAAAACTCCTCTCAGCTTCATTTAGTATATTCAACGGTAAGCGAACATGAGAGGTAACCCATATGTAACCCACACAAGATTTATCCATTCCCTCAGCCATACCCAGAGCACCATGGACTCATTTCACACCCCTGCTTTTTTCAAAAAAGGCAATGGGGTCATTGGATTCCATGGGCAACAACTGACCACCAAACGGCTATTTCGCCACTGTTTTTAAAGATTCGTTGTGACCCACTCCCACCCAGGCTTCCCATTTTAAAAAACAACTTTCCAGTAATGTTTCTAAACACCAGCCATTAACCACACCAGACCTGGTGGTTAAAGAATGCAAATAATATTACATAGTAAATCAATTTGGGCCCAGATCTAAGCTTCAGTTCATCTTTAGTAACCACAACTCAACAACAAGCCTTTCTTCAGTTACACTCTTCTTCTCATCCCCCTTCAGCTCCCTCCTTCTTCAGGCACCAGAACAGGCTGGCTGGCATGCACAACACAACCAATCACCTTGCTTTCCTGTTGACAAGCAGATTGGTCAGGGTTCCTGTCACGCCCATGTAGCCTTTAAAAATGCTGGCTAGGGGATTCTGGGAGTTGAAGATGGAAAAAAAAGATCTATTTTCTTGGGGGGGGGGAGTCTAAAAAGACTCTCAGACATTCCAAAAGTAAAAAAGCTGGTTTGTTCTTTTAAGAAGTTTGTAATCTGCCTTGAGCGCTCTCTTGCTCTTGCTCTCTCTGTGGGTGTATAAAGATGGAATGTAAATGTAATAAATATATAAATAAGTAAAGTAAAGAATCAAATGAAACATGGGATTTTAGAACTGGGAGTGAAAACTGAGGGTCCTCTAGTCCAGTGGTTCTTAACCGTTGTTACTGGGATGTTTTTGAACTGCAACTCCTAGAAACCCCAGCCAGCACAGTTGGTGGTGAAGGCTTCTGGGAGTTGCAGTCCAAAACTCCTGAGTAACCCAAGGTTAAGAACCAGTGCTCTAGTCCAACTGCCTATTGAATCAGAAATCTGCAACTAAAGGATCCCTGACAGATGGCCATCCAACCCCTGCATAAAGAACTCCAGTAAAGGAGAGTCTAGAATCTGTTCCACCTCTTACTGTCAGAAGAGCCTTCCAAATGTCAATGACATGTCCTGCCTTGTAATTTGAATCTCTATTTCTGCAGGCCATATATACATACCTTTGGTGCCCAGAACATTCCAAGTGAGCTTGCACCAAAGAAAATTACAGTGGTCCTGCTACTTTCTTTGCAAGGCAATGGGCATTATTCTTTGGTTGATATAGCCATGTTTTTTTTTCAATTAACTTTTTCTCTCTGTTGTATGATGCTGTTTGGGCTAAGTTTGTAGTCAGTAGAGATTCCCTGACCCTTTTCACGCGAGCTACTAGACCACAGCAACATATTTAATGTACCAACCTTCATTTCAGTGTCATCCTTCTTCCAACTTGCAATTGCCTTTAAGGTTGCTTCTATTTGCTGAGGAAGTTCACTGATTTTCATCACATCCTGAAGAATGAAACAAAGAAACATTTTCCCTCTAAGTTCTGGACATGTTTGCTTGCAAATCCTACTGAGGTTGGTGGAAAGGCCTTCCAAAAGAGACCCACACAAGTAATACACAACCTTAGAGAGGTAATTACTGCACTGAAGAGATCTGGGATAACAATACTTAAATGCCACACACATCACATGATGGACAGTGGTTAAAAATTTGTTTTAGTTTGGTGGATTTTATTTATTTATATGACTTATATCCTGCTGCTCTGCCAAGACTGGGATGCAGAACAAGAGTAAAAGTAAAATGATCATTAAAAAAAGATAAAATAATTATAACACACAATTAAAGAAATTATAATATTAAAATATTAATGAGTGAAAATGTTGCTATCTTTTTAAATACAGCATCTACTCCCTTAAAATCCTTCTTCTCGGTATCCCATCAGTTCTTCAGACACCATCTGAACCCTGGAAGCCTGACTGAAGAAACACAACAGGAGAGCAGGAGTGGGCTGGGGTGGGAAACCTAGCCTCCTTTGCCAGAAGATTTCTCAGCCTGGGAGCAGTCACTGGGAAGGGGCAGGTGAGTTAGACCATCTGGGGCCCAGACTGGGGATTGTCTGGCTTGGGGACACAGGCAGGTAACGTGTGGCTCTCCAGACACTGCAGGACAGCACCGGCCATCAGAACAGCCCATGGCAAGGGACGGTGGGAGTGGCAGACTAACAACACCCAAAATGACAACACTCACATGGGTCATCCCTGTCTTACATGACTGCCTCTTCTACAAGACTTTGAAAAGTAACTTTTCGGCACTTCCGGTTCTCAAAGCTACCCATGGCGGCTGGGGAAATTCTAGGCGTTGTAGTCCAAAAGCTTACTTTTCAAGCTCTGTCCCCCTCAGCCTCCTGCAGGTTGGCAAGGGGTGGCCTGACCTTTTCCAGCAACAGTCGATAGGTTACACCTTCCTTTGAGAAAGGACAGGGTAGGCTGACATCTCTGTAATGACTTCTTAGTTTCTTGATCTTTGTTGAATGCCAGTGATTTTCCTGAACGGTCCATCCACAGAAAAACCATAGTTTATTTCAAATTTTTGGGTTGTCTTTCCATGTCTTGATCTGAGTTGTGGTGGGGGCTCCTAAAGAAGCTCTGCGGAGAAGCAAGGATGTGTTTGAAAAACTTGCAGTGACTCTCCAACTTGTCACAGATCCTTCAAGGGCTTGCCTTAAATTGCAGCCAATGTTCAGTCCTAGTGTTCACACCTGAACTTTAGGAAATACATTCATTGTTTTCAGTTGTATCTGGTGTAATTATACTAACAGTGTAATAGTATCAATAATATTACAACAATCTGCTACCAGTATTCATTATACCTATCAGCAGACTCTGCAGTGATTGACCTTCCTGTTGTGCTTTAGTGTGTTCAAGGAGCTACACGGGTGTTTCCGCAGCAACACCCCCCCCCCACAAAGCCATTCCTATGTCTCCTCGACCTGCAGAGGGAGGGGGTGTGGTGCTGAGGGCCAAGGCTCCAGAGGCAAGGAAGCTATTGCGAGGGAAGCAACACTGGAGCCAGTACTTCCTGACCCGCTCCATGAGTAACAGCGATAGCAACATAGGTGCGCTTGAGCATGTGCAGAGTGTGTCCTCCCACACTACTAAATAGCCACAACTGCAGTCTCTAACGGTAGCAGCTTGACGTGTGAACCTTACAGCAAGGCCCCTCTGCCTACGGCGCGCGGAGCAAACCACACACCACCCAGCCCCGCACCTGCAACCCGCGGTCGGCGGCGTCGGCGGGCTGCCCGGCCAGCGCCTCGAGGCTTGGGGCCCAGAGTGGTGGGGATGATGGCGACGGCGGCGGCCACCGCCCCTCCGGCTGCCCGTCGTTTGAGGCTGCGCGGCGATACTGCTCCAGCACCCTCTCCAGCAAGATGGTCCGCTCGGGCAGCTTCTTGAGCGAGCCTCGCCCGCAGTTGGGGCAGCTGCGCCCCCGGCTTTGCGCCCACCGCCGGATGCAGCCCAGGCAGAAGCTGTGGCCGCACGGGAGGGTGGCCGGGCTGCTGAGCAGGCAGAAGCAGATGGGGCACTGCAGGTCGTCCGCCTTAAGCCACAGGGCTACGCAGCGGCCGGGGTCCGTGCCTCCTACCGCGGCCATGACAGGGCAGGGAAGGGCTACGGCTTCTCCCGCGTCCCCGTCCTTGGCCTCCAGCCGGGTATGGCTTTCTGATCCTCGGAAGGGGTTCGCCCTGAGGCGTTTATGGGGCTTGGGAAAAGCAGGCAGTGCTGACAGCCTGCCGCGAACTCGTCCCCCAGCGCTGCCCAGCAACCGCGCTGGGCGTCTGAATAGCTCCTCCCGCCCTCTTTCCGTCCGAAATCCAGTTGGCCCATATGCAGGATCCACCCCCCTTACAATTTAGCAAGGTTCAGCTGCCGCGCCAGAGACCGCTTGGTGGCATCCCTCCCTGCAACAAAATAAAACGAAGACGTCTTGGCCCGTTTCTGTAATTACTCAGCGCTGTGTCGTCAAGTTGTAAAGACTTGGCAGTTATATTCGTGACATAAGATTTTTAGGACTATAGGATTCTTCCTCAACTAGGTGCAGTGCTATCCTGCAGTACTTGCTGAGAGGAAATTCTAAAACAGCGTGAATACCTAGGACATCAGATACCTAGGACATGTAAGAGGTGTAATGCATGGTATTTCGTAATGAAGCTTAAAGTTATATAATTTAAGTTTACATTTTAGGAAGTAGGCGATCAAGCATAAAAGCTCAGGCTATACTAAATTCAATTGTGTTCAAGGCACCACAGGACTTGATTTGGGCACAACAAACGTGATCCTGGCTTTCAAATGTTCCGCAGAATGCCTGCAGACCTTTCCTATCTATTCCACCCTAGGACGAGATAAAGACGTCTGTCAGTCAAGCCCCATGCCTTTATAGTAACGCTTTGCCCCAGGAAGACTCCTGGAGATCTTCAAAGATTGCACACATATTTGTGTCCTTTCAACTGGCCTAATAGAGGCATTTCCCTACAATGGTCTTTCTAAATAATGTTACTTTGCGCTTTTTTTCATGTGTTGGAAGGAAAATATTTATAAGATGTACTGCAGTGAGCAGTAGGAAATTTGAGACATGAAGGTCTATGTATGCTCCCAAGTCTTTGTATAATTGGTGGGCATCACTTCAGAAAGATAGTTGTGTATCTCCACAAATCATGGCAGATATATATATCTGTCTACGTTGCTTGTAGTTCATACAAACACACCAGCAGTACCAGCATTAAAACATGCTGCTGCTCTTCAAATTAGTGACAAATGCATTGTTATTATTTATTTATTGTATTTAAAATATTTTGCTCCGCCTTTCTCCTTAAAAGGACCCGAGGCAGCTGACATAATTAAAAAGTAAATATTTAAAAGCTAAAACAGTAGGTAGGCAAATATTTTTTAAAAGTTAAATAACATTCAAAACTATCATTAAAATCAATACCAAAACACATTTAAAAGCAACAGAGCAGAACAATTTGTTCAACCCATCCCAGATGGTCAGTCACTAAAGAAAAACCTGCCTGAAATGAATAACCTGGGATTCTAGTTGATACAAAATGAATATTTCCTGCCACACTTTTTAGATTAACCATCATTCTCCAGTATGAAATCCAGAGTTGCCTAGGAATGTTTCTGATACAAAACTTCTGCCTTGTGCATAGAAGCTGTGGAAGATACTCTTTGATACATACAAACATGCTTATATGTTGACAGGATCATAATCAAGACAGCATATATACCTTGAGTCCGTATGCCAGTCCAGCAGTTCCATTGGCTTTTTTATACTGTGTCCAGGAGGGATCCAGCTGTTCCCAGCACAGTTCTTGTTTTCTTGCCCAGGTTATTTGTGTCTTCTTCATTTGGTGGAAAACGTCCACAATGTTGGCAAGGGATCTATTATCTATCAAACCATTTAGACGAAGCTCCCCCCTGCATTCGGGGCAGAATGCTTTGTCCCTTGCCTTTTGGCAATGTTGAGAGATGCACTTTTTGCAGAAGTTGTGGGAACATTTTGCAATCAAAACTGGAGTGTTAAAAACATCCAGACATAGGCTACAAGTCAATTCCTCCTGCAACTTTTTCTCAAGATGGGGAGCCCTAGCTGCAATAGCCATGGTCCCAAGGCAGCGGGGTAAAAAGACTTTCAGTTTCTTTTATTTGGCCTGAAATGTTTCTAAACTGAAAGGAAGGAAATAAGACAGACCCGCCTTTCTGTTCCGCTTGTCTCTTTGGTTCAGGCGACATGGTTTTCGGTTTGGAAGGGCCCTTAAAGGCCACTGGGAGGAGCTGTTTTCTTCTGTGGCGGAACGTTGTGTTGCGCGCCAAGGGGGGGGCCTCTGAGAAGAACGGCAAACAGACTGGGCGGAAGGAAAAAGATGTAACACCGAATAAAGGCTGTTGAAGATGACCGTGAAAGGCCTCCGCTGCCTTCTCCGGACAGGTAGGGAGGTGGTGTTAGGCTCTCCATGAGGCGGAAATGGTTTCCCGTCTGGAAGGCGATTTGATTCTTTCACTTCAATAAGAACACCATAGATAGCTAGTAACCGCGTGACGGAGGAAGGTGAAGGAGTGATTTTGGACACACACACCCCATCTAGCAAATGCCGTTCGCCTTTTTTGCCTGCTTGCTGCTGCTACTTTTTATTATAGGTAATAAACGGCGCAGCAGGCGACTTTTGGCTGTCTCCTTATCTATTTTAGTAAAGCGGACACATGCTCATTTTATATTAATGCATTACTGGTTAGATGCGCTAAAAAAAAAACCACGATTCCAAATTATGTTTTAAGCAATAATATAAATGACTCTAACACAGAGCAGAGAATTATAGTGTGACTTAATTCCAGGTAAATTTGGCTACAGATTGGGGTGTCAGTCCCAAATGACTTTCCCAGACTAGACCTGATCTCTAAAGGCTCAGAAGAACCCCTTACCAGGGTAAGCTCATCTAGTCAGTGGCCTAACACAGCAGGATTTCATATTTCCCTTCAGGTCAGCTATTTCTGAAATGTGAGTTTTAGCTAGAGAAAGTCTCAGTACTACCTGTCAGATTCAGAACAGATAACAGTGCTATTTAATGTTTTCCTCAGAACTTTGTACAGTGTATCATAAATTCTTGGGTAGTCAATAAGAAAAAGATTGTCTAGTACAGTTCCCTAATTAATTAAGGATATAGTTGCAGATGGGTAATGGGAATGGTGGTTAGAACAACTTTCACTGCAAGGTTCAGGGAATTTTGAGAGCTCTGCAGAGAGAGGTAGAAATGGGTGGGTTTGATGATACAAAATAGCTGTGTTAACTACGAAGTGTGAACATATGCCCCCCCAACCAATGGCAATGTTTTAATCTAATTTTTCCCATTTTCTTCTATATACCTTGAGTTTTGTTTAAACACATGTGTACTCAAAACTCATGTTCAAGGCTTCATAGTTAACACACACAAAAACAAAATCTATGTTTCACATATGCTCTAGTTTATAACTGCTTAGGTCCTAACCCAGAACCTGAAACAAATATACCAAAAATTGGGTCTTTGAAGTTTAATGTGGCTTTGGACAGATATGATATTAAAAGGCCCTCCACAAAAATCTGGAAATATATGGCATTTGTATATCCAGAAATTCCTTGTCCTTTGCAAACATTAAGCTTTTTGCCACACCACTCTGCAGAAGAGTAATCCTGCAAGACATTAGATTAAACTTTGAGCCAAAACACACGTTAATTTATCAAGAAAAGAGGAGTATTAGGGCTCAAGCATGTATTTCCTGTACATACTTGCAGTGCAAAAAGTTTTCAGTGCTGTTCTGCTGTTTCCTTCCTTGGCTGAAAAGACATACAAAATGGCTTTGTGAAGAGCAAGCATTGATACCCAGTTCTTTATGATGTATACATTTACTGACTTTGTTAATGCAAACTTCGTGACTCTCTCCACCCACAGCTCATGTAAAATTTTACTATGTCATCTTTATATAAGAAATGGTTCTGTATTATATGTGGTAGAAGCAAAATAAAGATTTAAATAATTGTTAAAAGTAGGAGTGATAGGGAAGGTTACACATAGATTACAACATTATTTGGAGCCTCCATAGAATGGTGTGAAGTAGACATGGCCATTGCCAGATAAAAGTATTGTCTGGAAGCAACCTCCATGTGTATATGACACCTGAGGGTTCATCTGTCCTTCAGTAAGGTTCATCATGGTGGACAAGCTACCCTGGAAAACATATTGCCCACCAAAACTGATTTTCCCCTGCACTTTGCAGCTTGCAGGAGATTTTTGAAAGTTATAAAACAAGCACACTAACAGTAAAGCTATACAATTTCCTACAGCATCCTCTAAAACAGGTAGGCCAGACTGGAACATAGGTTGATGTATGTGTGAAGGTTCGTTTCGGTGTGGGCCAGTCACTCCCAATAAAGGACGAGACGGATTTAAACTGTCAACTGGATCCGTGTTTATTTGTACATCAACCATAACTGGAACTTCTGGGATAACAGGTTCTAACGTCTCTTGCGCTCCCAAACCTGAGCGCAAGGGTATCCATAAACTTTCAATAAACGGGTTACTGTCCTCAATAGTCCATGGTCCCGTTACGCCTTTCACGGGCACCTGGTTTTCCTCAACCCCCTCTTCAGGGGGAATCAAGGGAAGTGTCTCTTCATCGTCGCTCCATCCTCATAAGGACAACCCCTCTCCGACATTTGCCAACCACGGTCCGGGTAAACTCCCATCTTCTGCAACTCGGCAAGATGCCATGCTTTCTTTCTTTCAATTTCCCTCGCCACTGCTTCCCTTTCCTCCCTTAGCCTACGCCTCCATTCTTTTGATTCAGTTTCTCCCCAATATGAGGGTCGGGGTTTCAAACCTTGGCGTCTTCTTTCCGCCTCCTCGTGGGGCACCTTCACCTGCTCCCACTTGCCGGTCCAGGGATCTTCAACCCATATCCACTCCCAACCGCCCGGGATTTCCTCCCACTTCCCCCTTATATCTCCAGCTGCCGCCTCTATCTCCTCCTTCCCGTTTCCCACCAAATCCTTCCCGGGTTTCAGTCCCAGGGTTAACCCCTTCACCGTCTGCCCGAGGTCACTGGTGTCCACTCCTTTTTCCACTAGTTCCTGATCTTCAGGTACCCCTTCCAACTCACAGGAGTCTACTTGTTTATCCTCGCGACGGGGTGGGGAGGAAGGGGGGGATGTCTGGGTATTTTGGGTCCGTGACGGGAGCGACGGCACTCCTATATAGGCCTCCTGTTTGGGGGCCTCACAGTATGTCCAAAACTTCTCCTACATAACTTTTCCTCCTAAACAGGGAAAGATAAATATATGTTTGTAAAAAATTTAATTCTGTGGAAAAAGTGGCATTTTCTTGCAATATCTGAGCACAAATAATTTCATCAAATGAAATCAATTGACGGGATATTTGGACCAAAAACACTCTTAGCTAATCAGCTAATATGGAATTTATTGTCATATGATATGGCAAAATTCAGTTCCCCAGAGCTCAGTTTTCAGGCTTCCAAAAGCATCTTACACTGACTGGAAATGAGCGCAAGATGGTTAGGTGGTGACCATGAGTTAGATGAGTGAGACCAAGAGTTAGATGCAACCTCACATGTTGCATCTAACTCATGAATTGCAGGTTCCCCATTTTTGTATTAGACAGTTTCATGGAATAGAAATCCGTCAGTCATTATCTTTCAATAGCTGTTAGTTGACTTTGTAGAATTTAGGAGTAAACCAGGGTTTATCAATTACTGGCTGAAGTCCTGTTGCTTCTTCTAGTTAACCAAACTAGGGAGGCCCATTGGATCAGTGGGAATTTGGTGAGATTTGCAACTTGACTAGGCCTGTTTGAATCCATGTAACTTATGGAGGAGTTGACTCATCAAATCCTCACTGATTCAGTGGGCCAACTTTAGTGCAACTTACTATGCTGAGCAACAGGATTTCAGCCGTATTGTACATTAGCAGGACAGATCTGTTTCTTTCATAAATTACCTGTGCATCTGGTTGGCCACTGTGGGAATCAGCATGGTGAACTAAAGAGACATTTCATTTACTATAGCAGGGCATGTTTATATATATCACTGAGCTGACAGAATAATACCTAGTAGGCTGGGCTAACTGGATAGTTCACTGTATTGAGGAACCTGTTTGGGAGTTTGATGCTTGCTGTGCCTCCTTGGAGAAAAGTCAACCTGTGCTTCCTTAAGCAAGCTACACAGTCCCAGAGAGCCCCCAGAAAAAAGGTGGCATAGATAATTTCTGAGTATTTTGTATCTAGAAAACTCTGAGTAGGTTTGTCATGTGTTTTAATCAACTTGACAGCATGTAATTATTATTAATTAGTCAGGCGAGAGAACTTTATAACATTCATTTTAGATATTATTCATAGTTTTTTTTTAATGATCAACATACTAAACTGCCATTTTAGACGGAGGATGTAAGGCTTAACACTTCAATCTCTCGTGGCCCGATATTCACTATGCTTACTCCAATGTCCTGTGAACACATTTTTGTGCATTTTGTGCCTGGCAAAAAAATTCTAGCTGGTATCAGTAGAGCAAGTGGCAAGCACTTGATAGGGCGATTGTTACTTTCAAGGTTTAAATAAATTCAGAGAGGTTCTTGACAGTGAGGCCTTTTTGATTGTTGATTGTTGATTGTTTATGTATAGCTGTTGGTGTGTGAGGCCTATTGATTCCTTCTGCTGATTTTCTGATGGGTGTTGATGGAGTATGACTCATGTGATGGATTTTTTTTTCACCCTCCAGGAAGAACATGTTTCCTTCGGGTTCCATTTAGTACATCGCAGGTTCTGTGGTATAAGAAGTCATCAACAACGGTTACACAGGGGGACTCTGCTTCAACAGATAAGCATTTTAAGGAAACAAGTTGTGCAATAGATGACCTTTATTCCTCTGAAGAGAAATCTACCGTTTTGCACCTACTCAATTCAGCATCCAAAGAAGAACTTACTGCTCTGAAACTAATACGAGGAAGAAAATCGGCTAAAATAATAGATCATAGGGACAAGCATGGGCCATTTCAAAATTTACAGAGTTTACTGGAAGTGCCTACGTTTCAATATAAAACAACTATTGAAGTGTGCAATTTTATTCTCAAACATTTTACAAAAGAAGGAAAAGCTGTGAAAAATCAAAATCCTATCTCTATTATAATGAAATATGTCACATCTGAAATAGAGAGAGAAAGACTGAAGGTAATCTTTCCAGCAGATTTTTCTACAAACATTGTTTTTTCCTCAAGTACTGATTTTAAATCTTGGATTGCATGCAAGTTAGAGAACCTCACTGAACTTAATAGAACCTGCTTCTTCCTAAATATGTTTGCATCTGAAATTACTAGTCATAACTAGACAGATCCATTGAATCAGTGGCTGAAATCATGCTGCTTAGTGTACTAAGTTGTATTGAAACAGGCCCACTGAGTCAGTGGGGATTTGGTGGGTCAACTGCTCTGTAGGTTTTATTGATTTAATGAGCCTACTCTAGTTGTGACTTACTAAGTTGTAGAGTAGGTCCATTTGATACAATGGAACTTATGGAGAAGTTGATTCACCAGATCCCCACTGATTCAGTGGGGTTATTCTAGTGCAATTTGCTAATCACCAAGATTTAAGCCAGTGAGACACATATGTTAACTTATCATTCTGCAGCTGATTCAATGCTCCACTCTTAACTGCAAATAGTACGTACTTGGATTTAGGTCATAGTTGTTAACATCTGATATGGATATGATTTTATGTAATGGCAGAGATTCAGAGAGACGTTTTAGGTTTATTGAAGGTATTGAGTGTGCCTAATGGGATTTTTAAAAACTGGCACAAATCCGGTTGGAAGGGAAGTTCCATAACTTGCTGCAGCCTCTAAGTAATGAGTTTTTATGTACATACTTGGATTTCTCATTATGTGCCAGTTAAGCGGTGTAATGTATAATAGAATCCAAGTGGGGATACGATAATTATCAGCAGTTATGCTTTTGCCCTTCCACTGGTATAATTATGTGACAGGATTTTGGTTACTGTTTCAGCAGCCACTACTTTCATTATAAACTGCATTTAAAACTCTCAGTTTCCAAAGAGGCTTGATATTGACATGAGAGAGGCTACTGTTAAAGGAAACAAAGAGCAGATAGTCCTGCAGATGTGTAAAACTAAACACTGGTCAATGTACATTTTCTGTGAATAGCATTTTAATCCCACTCCTTATCCTAAGAGCTTATAGAACATCTTGTATCAAAAAACAGGCCCTGTCTGCAGACTTACAGTTTAAAAAGTATTGGGTAGGGAAAGGAAAAATAAATAGAACAAGTAGAATTCTAGCAGGGCTTGTGAAATGGTGGTGCTTCTCACTGTACATCCATTTGTTGCTGCCTGCTGGAATGGCTAACAGTGGTGACAGCTGACGGAGGAGTTTTCATGGAACTAAGTTTTAACATACAAAACTAGTAAAAAGGGGGAGGAGATATGTTTCTTAGATTTTGGGATTATAGATTATAGAGGTGTGATTGGGTGGAGACTCATTGACATACTAAGTGCTTGTACACGTAGCATCATCCAAACCATGCCCCCTTTCTTGTGTTGTGTTTGACAGACTGCAGAACATGGTCTTTCCCATTAAGGTTTTTACTGGTTATCCCATTCTGGTTCACATCCAGTGTATTTGTTCTCTAAAGGAACATGCCTAAACTGTTGAAATTTGCACTTTGCCACATGTATGACAGACATGCACAAAGAACTGACACTTAATATTGACGATTATCCTAGATTTTTCCGACCACAATTTTGTGCCACTTAAATAAACAAACAGTATGCCTTTAATTGTTGTGGGGTTTTCAGGCTGTTTGGCCATGTTCTGGAGTTTTTTCTTCCTAACGTTTTGCCAGTCTCTGTGGCCAGCATCTTCAGAGGACAGGAGCTAGAGTTCACTCTGTCACCCCACAACCACCATTGAATCCCAGCTGTGAAAGCCTTCGAGAACACAGTGTGCCTTTACTTGAATTTTGTATCTTGTTTTGGAAAAGGCCCAGGCTATGTAGCAAATCTTGGTAGAATGAGAATGTAGGGAAAATGTCTTGAGAAAGTGAGATTGCAAAACCTGTTAAGTGCTGACAGAGCTTTTCCCTGTTTCCACTTTAGGCAGCCAACAGCATTGTATCTGTGGTTTTTGGCACTCGCAAAATTGCATGGGCTCATGTTGATAGACACTTGACTGTTCAGGATTGGCAGCAGCAAGAATACACAATGTTTATGAAAGGAAGCTATGTGCCAGCGTTGTATCTTGAAGAGGTAAATCACATTATACTTCCGTGCCATTTTAAAAATATAACATATTTATTCTAAGTGTAGTATGTTGTTATGGACACACTGCCATCTTTCCCCTTTGGGACTCAGACTGTTATAGCCATCAGAATATTGTGGGGGTGGTGGTTAAAGAAATGAGTGGCCATCGGAGAAAAGGGGAGAGGTTGTGGCTATTGTTGAATGCGGGGAGAGGACTTGAATCGAAAGACGAAGGCAGTAGTCAGGAGAATTCAAGGAAAGGGTGTTTGAACAGGTCCGTCTTCAGCCGGAGGCGCGCCTTGGTTTTGGGAGGGAAGGAGGAGCAGGGCGGTTCAGATCTTTTAACACAAGCTTCTTTATTTTTTTGAACAGTTGAATTCAACGGTATCAAAAGGATCCAACAAACTTAACTCTGGCAGAACTTTATAAGTCTTAACTCTAACATCAGGGGTCTTCCAATCACTCCTTAAAGAGGGGCCGGACCAAAGCGCTCCCTGTCCGTCATAGGTCTCAAGGGGGTGCTCCTCACGGCACAGACCGTCCCACAACATGGGTGACGAGCCCAGTCCCCCTCGGGTGGTTGCTGGAGAAAAGAGGGACTGGGACGGATCACC